TTTACATAATCGTTATATTATCAACGAAATTAAGTATATTCAGTGCATTCGATTCAATCACATTCGCATATATGTATATTTCTACTTAATTCGATGCCATTCGCACTCTCCTTCCCCCCAACAACGTCAATAAATCACCCGCCCACCACCGCTCTGTTCGATTTATATGGAAAAAATGTATATGATTATATTCTTGAGTGTTATTGTTATTGTTGTTATCGCCATTTCTGTTATTATTGCACTACTAATCGCCACAACAGCGAAATGAGTGTCTAGAACATGTGAGCTGAGGGAGCGTTGCACTGGTGTGTTTTTTTTATAACAACACCAAGCACATTTCCCTACACGTGACACACGTTCTACCTTCGTCGCTTGACAGTGGCCGCCCCGTGCATTGATATATAAATAGCGCTGATTCTAACTTATAACAGTGGCTATGGCAACAACAACAATTGCAATAACAACACCAAGCGACTATAACAACAATAACAACCACATYAGCGACCCGCCATGATATCAACAGCTGCTGAAGAATGTGCTTTTGCTATTACGTTTTTATAAGTAGCGGTGTTTCGTAACCGCTCGACAAGCAAAACGTTGGAGAATTGTATGAGCAACGTGTATGGTTACATGCATATATACATACGCGGTTGTGTACATACATGCAAGTATGTAGTTTGCAACGTGAGGAAATAACGCAGCGAATTGATTACATTGCGTCTATAGAAGTAAATGATTTGCCTTGCTTGCAAGGGGTGGGGAGAAAAGGTAGAGGCGGCTGAAAAAAGATTGAAGAAAATTAAAAGATTAAAATTTAATTTAAAGTTATGTAGTATGTTTGTTTAAGTACTGCTGCCCAGGCACATTAGTCTATTGCAAGATACTTGACTATAAACGTRCCTAATATCCGGTGTTAATGAGAAATTATAGCCGAGTGTCGTTGTTGCTGTTTGAACTTTTGTGGAAATGCACTTCTCAAATTAGTAATAACTGTAAATAATTACGTCCACTATATTTGCTAATATTTCATAAATTGTATATATTTGTTTGGCCCTAAAACTGAGCTTCTAAATGACGCAGGTTTCYGTTCTTATATACATAGTATGGCTGGTTTTGATGCGAAACTCGACYGATTTTTTGTGAAGTCGCAGCTATAGGCGGGGACTTTCCATTTTTAAATTTGTAGGTGATTTTAGTCTAGACAGTTGAATTTTATGAGAAGCTCTTTCAAACAAATAAATTCGTACTTTCTTAGTCGGTAACAGATATCATCTAGATTGCTGGTGGGGCTTCTGTAACCTTTATACCATTGAGTCTAAAGCATTTCAATCACAGACGCCAGAGCTACAAGCAGGTTTTCAGGTGATTTTAGTCTCCCAGAGACAGTTATTTTATGAGAAGCTCTTTCTTGGCAGAAATTCAAGCGAAGGTTTCCCTTTCTGACCGTTGGGTGACCACTTTTCAAAAAAGCTAGTTCTTTTTTAGACGGTAAAGGAGATCATATTGACTGGGGGTGGAGATGGGGCTGCTGTAACCTCTATACCATTGAGTCTACTCGCCCACATACATATGTATGTATGTATGTGCATACATTTATTAAAATTTATTAAAATAAGAAATTAAAGTCTTATAAAAATGCTGAAGAATTGCAATAACAATGACAAAACTAATATTAAATATTCTTTAT